ATATCCTTTTTTTTCTTTTTTCGCACTTTCCATTTTGGTGCTTCATCACAGGTGGAGCTGGTGTTTTGGACTAGTTTTGGGTCTCTACTCTGTCACATCAGGACGACCATGTGTAAGATTTAGCCTCCAGCGGCAGCAGCGGCGGCAGCAGCAGCAGCATGTGTTGCGTTGTTTGTGTTCCTCCTCTCTGTGGGTCAGCAGTTCGACTCACTCACCGTGATTGGTGGCTCCCGGGGGATTGTGGGGGAATGAATGTGGCAGCTCGGCTCTCAGATGTTGATCAGATGTCCCTCCCCACTCGTCCCTTAGTCCCAGGAGTGAAATGGTGCCTGTGGCTATTTTGTGCGCTGCACTCTACTACTGCTGCCTGTCCCCCGGGGGTCTCTCTAATAGTGGCGCCGTCCCTTCAAACCAACTTATAGCCGATCCTTGATTTCATCTCCTGACTGGCCGCATGGCCAAACGTCTGCTGTCTGTGCTCGCGGCTCCTCTGCCGCTTGATAACAGAGTGTGTTTCACTTTAACTGGGGCTTATCTGCTCTCAAATTGAATTAGCAACATCTCTGCCATGGTCCCACAACATTTTAAAGAACAAGGAGAAGAGGCTTCTTCACCTCTGTGAAATATGATTTGAGATAATTTTGCAGCAGCCTGCTTAATGAATTAATTTCAGGAATTTATCTGCGTGGCATCCACAAGGTTTTCACATCTTTTTAACCATCGATAACACGTAAGTAGCGCAGGGCAAAGAATAGGTGATTAATTGGACACGTTTCTTATTTTTTTTTTTTTAATTAATCAAATGAGGTGGACACGTTTCTTATTTTTTTTTATTTAATCAAATGAGCAAAGCTATTGGTCATGCTGCGGAAAAAGAATTGTAAGACAAAAAAACAAACAAACAAAAAAAAAAAAAATTCCTAATTGGATATTCCAAATAATTTTGGGCTAGGCCTCTCCGGTAACACAATATGGAACTCTACAAAACTTGGTAGAGCAACTGTGGTACTGAGAATTTTTTTTTTTTTTTCACAGTTAAATTACTCCTTTCTTAACCCTTGGGTTGTTTTTTGGGTCTTTGTAGTCTTCTGGCTGATAATATGCACAGCTTGTGCCAACTTTTCCTCATACAGTGAAAACTCCAGTTACAAGCATAATCTGTTCCAGGACCGCGTTCGTAACTCGAAGTGCTCGTAAATAACAGCAAAAAAATTAAACAGTTCCGACCCTCTAAAAACTCCCTTATTAGTGCTAATAACAATGAAAAAAAAAAAGTTTTTTAATTGCTTTAGAGACACACACATGTAAGCGTGCTCGTATCTCAAATCTTTACTCGTATCTCGAAGCAAAACATTTGCTCGAAAGCTTGCTCGTATCTCGAAATACTCGTATGTCGAGACGCTCGTATCTCGAGGTTCCAGGTTCCAAGATGCAAACCTGTTGCAAGGACGCTGGGTGTGTACAAAATGCAAAGGAAAACGGGAGGGTTATTTCTAAAAAATCTAGCCCCCCGCCCCCCCAAAAAAAGAAAAAAGTTGTGTCCTAGTGAATTTGTATAACAAATGACTATTGTGAGAATACATCATCTTAATATATCCCTTCCAGCTTCTGTTCCCAATGCTTATTTGTTACCTTTGACTCCTCTGACACCAAACATCTGCGACTTTCTTCTTATTATTGGTGTGAAGCAGGAAAACAATCAGCCCAACAATGCTCCCTTTGTTCGTAGCACAAACGAGATGATTATTATTTCTTAGGCATCATTAAATGCGTGTAGGTGTTTTCCATATGTTTGGGCTTCACATGCAAACCTGCCACTTAACCTGATTTTTGCTTCCCTTTCGTCTGCAAACACTCTTCAGACGAACCGCGGCTGTAACTTTTGAGCCTCTGGACACATTGCCGATCTGTGCCTGAGTGTAAACAGGTGAAAAGAATTCATTAAAAACATATACAGTTGTTCAGCATTCTTGCTGAGCAGACCTGATGGAGTTGACGCCGAGGCTCGGTTTAATGTGTAGGAGTGAGTTCTCCCAGGGAAGAAAAACACATCAAACTCCAGTTTGGTCCAAGACCACATGTAGGTGGTGTTTCAGAAAACTGAAGGCTTTTCTTCCTCCTCCAGTTGAACAATAAAGAGACATTGTTATCCACACACAATGAGATCTCAAATCTATGGTACATGTTTACATGTCACTCGCTGTAAGTCGAACTGAGCCTCAAAGGTAAAAGGCAATTTTAAGAAGATATATTTACCGAGCAAAATCAGCCTTCACTACAACTGGAAGATGTCCACGTTTAAAGTTATTTAAAATAAACTCAGTTTAGCTGTGTATTAAAAACTGGCTCACAGTAAGAGTTATGTTATTATTAATAATTTGACCAATTCTGACTTTAGGAGCAAATCTGAAACCTAGGTGTGTCTGTCTGGGGACAACAATAACTCCGCTTACGATATTTGGGGTGATGTCACCATCTCCCATAAATTTATTGAGTAAGTGTTGTTCCATCATTCCAACGTAGAGGGCTAAATCAAATTAGTAGGCGGGCGAAGTGAACGAATACTTTGTCACACAACGCTATGTGCGGAAAATAGCTTTGTTAGCATTTGTCGGTTGTACACTGTACGTCGGATTGTTCTACATTTGCCTTTTCTCTGTTTTTGTCATTTTTCGGGAACTTCTTGCCCTTCATTATGGCTCAGCTTTGTTAGCATTTGCCGGTTGTACGCCGTACGTCGGATTGTGCTACATTTGCCTTTTTTCTGTTTTTGTCATTTTTCGGGAACGTCGTTTTTTAATGCCCTTCATTATGGCTCTGAAGCATAAGTCAGACTTTTCTGATGTTTTAAAGTCTTAGATCAGGCGTGGGCAAACTTTTTGACTCGCGAGCCACAATTGGGCCCTAAAATTGAACAGGGGTGGCCGGTCAGGAGCAGATAGGTGGAGCGTTTGTGTGAACTAAGATAAAAGTCATGCATAACTGCTAAGATGCCAAGATACTTTTATCATTTCCTACGCCATCTATTGGGGAAATGTGGGTATTGCAGGGAATGATAATAATAATAATAATGAACGTCATTTGGAAAAGTTTGGTGGGCCGGTTTAAAAAGCTGAACGGGCCACATCCGGTCCCCGGGCCTTAGTTTGCCCACGACTGTCCTAGATTATGATGTTACCACTGTGTTAACGTAAGTGAGCGTAAGCCGCTTATCTACTGTAGTAACCCAGATAGAACTCTATTTGCTCCTTACGAAGAAATTAACCAAATGCTATAGCTATAACCCAAGCGAACAAGTTCTAAAACCAAAATACCAACTTTTTATCTCAGGCTAACAACTATAGTGACAAGTCCTGAACTCAAGTAAACAAGTCTCAATCCACAGTGCCAAAGCTTTTAACTTAGCCTCTCTGCTAACAAGCCCTAAGACCCTAGGGACAAAACCCACTAGCAAGTCTACAAAATTAGTACCAACTTTTAAAGGCCAAATTTAGAAGACGTTACAGAGCAGCTGAGGTTGCTTGATTGTCTGTGACTGTCGATAAAGAAGTCTCCCTAAGAGTAAACATCTTATTTTAGCTCCGAGTCCAGGTGAAAACGTTTTAACATCCTGTCAAAGAATTGATAGATTGACTGATTTCACAAGCCCAGCACTGACCATCAGTTATTTAAATATAAATTCAAGTCCACAATTTAGATTCCATTTTTAACAACATTGTATATCATCAATTATTTTACAGTTCTAATGTTTGTTTGGACTTTTATTTGGAATTTAAAATCTGCCACACATGATGAATAGCTCAGTCGAGAACTTGAACATCCCCAGAGGTCGGAAAGAAAAGAATGAATTTAGGATAATAGAGGGATGGGAAAATAAAAAATGGATAAGAGAGAGAACACACCAAAGAGGGGTGGGGGGTTAAGAAAAAGGCATAAAGAGAAGGGGGAATAAAGATGATGAAGGTAGGAAGGAAGAGGGCGTAGGAGAGCACAAAGGACAAAGGAAAGATGGAGAAGCAAGGGAGATGCATATGGGTACGGGGGGAAAGTGAGAGAAAGGAGAGGTTAATTAGAGCACACAACAAAAGTCACGAAATATGGTGCAAAAAAGGAGACGTAGAGTAGAAAAAGGAGAAAAGAGGCCGTACAAAAGGACTAGAGGATGAGGCAAGGAAAGAATCAAGGAATCGAATATTACAGGAAGTCCTCAGTTTCTAACGTCCTCGATCTACGGTGATTCGCGGTTACGTCACCATCGCCCATGAATTCATTCAAAAAGTCACGTTCCACCCTTCCCAAGCACTGTGTTAAAACAAATTTCTCACCGAATCTAATTGGCGAAGTAGACAAATATGCCGTCTAAGATAATCATCCAGTTCCAGGAATACTCTAGTCAAGTGATCTAAGACAACTTGGTTTCCATCCCACAAGTAAAGACAGTGAAGAAAGTTGATCTACAGTAGCGTCAGGATTTAGGTTTCCCCACTGCAGGCCACGGCTCGGAAACTGCGCAGCTTCTTTGAAGAAAGTTGATCTACAGTAGTGTCAGGATTTAGGTTTCCCCACTGCAGACCACGGCTCGGAAACTGCGCAGCTTCTTTTAAAGTCCGATAAATCGCTGTTAGTCAAACATATATCTGTTCTTTTTTTTTTTCTTTTTGTAGAAACCTCCTGTGTTCCACTGCAGTGGGGCTGAAGTTAGATCACCATTTTGCTGCTGTGAAAAAGCTGTGATTATTTACTGAGTCCTGTTTGTTTGTGTCATTTGCTTTCAAACATGAAACTAGGTTAAAATCTGCCGGTGGCACTTTTTCCTATTTCAGTAGCTCCTTTTAATTTGCACAGCAGAAATAACACAAACACGCCTGAAAAAAGAGGATTTTTCTTTCCTCTAATGAAATTCACTGTATACTCTGAGTCACTAATTAACAGCAGCAGAGATAAAATCATGAAGTGTTTTTTTTTTTCTTTTCTTTTTTTTAATCTTACAAATGTAGTGC